CAGCTCTTCATAAATGGCATTTTATTTTATTTTTTTTTTATTTTTAATATTTATTTTTTAGTTCTCGGCGGACACAACATCTTTGTTGGTATGTGGTGCTGAGGATCGAACCCGGGCCGCACACATGCCAGGCGAGCGCGCTACCACTTGAGCCATATCCCCAGCCCTTAGTACCTCCTTTTGCTGAGGCTGGCTTTGAACTCATGATCCTCCTGCCTCAGACTCTGGAGCTACTGAGATGACAGGCATGGGCCTCCACACCCAGCTCATAGGTATTAAATAACATTTATTGCAATATGTTATTATAGCTGATCTATTTTATTATTATGTGAAAGAAGCATTTTTTTAAAACTAGGAATAAAACAGCCTGGGAGGTGTGGCTAAGTGGTACAGTGCTGACCTAGTATGTGCAAGGCCCTGGGTGTGATCCCCAACACCACAGAACAAACAACAAACCTAAGCTTCAGTTCCAGGATTTCAGAAATCATAAAGCAAAAATCTATGTGAACATCAAATCATTCATTTACTCATTCATCATTCAATAAAATATCATGGAGCCTGTGCTGTATACTAGGTCTGTGACAAACACTAGAGATATTGAAGTGAGTAAACTAAAACCCCATGTGGCTTTTCTATTTGAAAAACATAAAAATCAATCCCTGCACAGTGGTGCATGACTGTAATCCCAGAGATTCGGGAAGTTGAGGCAGGAAGACAGCAAGTTTGAGGCCTGCCCCTGCAATTTAGCAAGACCCTCAGTAACTTAGCAAAAAGTAAAAAGGGCTGGGGATGTAACTCAGTGGTAAAGCACCCCTAAATTCAAAACAGAAAATAGAGCCTTGGGGCATCATGGAAAATCTCAGAGCCAGGGAGTGACATTAGATTATGTCTCTCCTCTCTGGGAGATGAGGAAGAGCTCTGACGGCCTCCCGCAGAAAAAAAGCCCGCAGGAGAAGTGCCCAGTTAGGAATGGAAAGTTTTGGAGTTATAACTTTAGTCACTGGAAATCCCAGGCCAGAATCCTGGTTGGTAGGAAGTGATGTCAGTGGGGACAGAAGCTGCTTCCAGCCTACAAAGAGTAGAGGGAAGAGGAAGGAACCCGGTTCCAGCACACTCCTTCCCTACACAATGCTACTGTCATGTGCTCACCTCCCACCCATGGGGTGGGGCATGTCGTGGGAAAGACAAGTCTACACTGCCACTGTGGCTGCTGGCAGTGGAAACTCAGCCTCTGCCCTCACTCTCCCTCTCTGGGACGCACTTTCCACCCCTGCTAATCCAGGAGAAACAGGAATTAAACTCTGGGGTTCTTCCAGCTTGAACTTCTTTTTTCTTTTTCTTTCCTTTTGTTCTTTCATGGCACTGGATGGAACCCAGGGCCTTGCGTGTGCAGGGAGAGGGCTCTGCTGACCCAGCCTCTAGCTTAGACATTTAAGTTTCCAAGAATGTGACGTATCTTAAGGTATTGGCCCATCAGCCTTTACCCACACCCGCGAAAAGGGGTCAGGACAGGGCAGAGATCTTGAGAGGATGAGTCACTACCGAGGGCTTCTGCTAAGTCACAGGTTTTTTTATTTTTTCTTCTCAACACCTGGTCACTGTAGGACCTTAGGAAAACAGAAGAAATCAAAGTATCCACAATCTAACCACCTAGAAGACCCTAAGAAAACCACTGGGAACATTTTTGCATCCTTTAGTCTAGACCTTTTCCTATAGATAAAAAACCATGTGGGGGCTCAGTGGCACAGCGCTTGCCTAGCATGCATGAGGCACTGGGTTCCATCCTCAGCACACATAAAAAAATAAATAAATAAGGGCTGGGGCTATAGCCCAGTGGCAGAGCCTTTGCCTAGCATGTGTGAGGCACTGGGGTGGATCCTCAGCACCACATAAAAATCAACAAATAAAAATAAAGGTATTCTGTCCATCTACAACTACAAAAAAAATGTTAAAAATAAAATAAAATAAAGGCATTCTGTCTATCTACAACTAAAAAAAAAATAACATATGCATATGTGCTATAGTTTATAAATGTGTCTCGAGGCCTGGTCCCAGCTGGTCGCATTCAGGAGGTAGTGCAAACCTAAAGTGAGGCTAGAAGAAGGTGTTCTGATCACTGGAGATTGTGCCAGTAAAGGAGATAACGGGACCCCCTACCCTTTCCTCTTCCTCCCCTCTTTCCACTTCCTGGCCACGAGGTAAGCAGCTTACTTGGTCACAGGCTCTGCACCAAGATGTGCTGCCTCAGGCCCCAAAAAATGAGGCCAACTGACCATGGACTGCAATCTCTGAAAACATGAGTTAAAATAAACTTTTTCTACTTCTAAGTGGATTAATTCAGGCACTTGTCATAGTGACACCAAGAGTGAGCAGGACAGTACAGAAACGGTGCAGAGGCCAAACCCTGGTTCCAAGGCCAGATGTGAACCCAAGCTGTGCATCTGGGGAAGGCCCTTCACCTCTCTCCGGCCTCAGCTTCCTCATCTGCTGAACAAGCTCTAGATGAGCTCTAAGAACAGAAATGCTTGGAGTAGAGCTTGGCATAGAGAAAAGATGACACAAATGGGGGCTATGATTGTGGCTCAGTGGTACAGCGCTTGCCTAGCAGGTGTGAGGCACTGGGTTCAAGCTTCAGGACCACATCAAAATAAATAAACAATAAAAGAGAGGTATTTCATCCATCTACAACTTAAAAAAAAAAAGACAAGTGTCAAGCAACCCTGTCATCTAGTCAATGAGGAATCCCATGTGGAGACCATCACGCTGTCCCTCCATATTCAAGATCTTGAATCCCRTGGAAACCTGGCCTATCCTCAAAGCCTTCAGCAAGGATGGCACAGCCTCCTGAAATGACTTGTTCCAGCATCAAATGCCCTTGCTCTAGACCAACTAGATGTCCCTGGGTGGAGGAAGGGGAAGCCCCAAGGACCTCTGCACCCATGGCATCCCTTTACCTCTCCATGACTCTGTGAGGGCAGCGTTATGGAGGAGGAAAATAAGGGCTCAGACAGGCCTGAAGTCACACAGCTGGGCGAGGCAGCGCAGGCTGTGCAGAGTCCTAGCACAGCAAACAAGGTGGCCACTAAACAGCCTCTCATCCCTGGCCCCACTGCACATAGCCTCAAAAGTTGCCAACTTTACACGAACTCAGATTCCAGCATTTCTTTCTTTCTTTTTTATTTTTTTAAATACTTATTTTTTAGTTTTAGGTGGACACAATATCTTTATTTTACATTTATGTGGTGCTGAGAATCCAACCCAGTGCCTCATGCATGCTAGGCGAGCGCTCTACCACTGAGCCACAATCCCAGCCCCCAGCATTTATTTCTTCAACAGCAAAAAGGGCCACAACTGCAATCACAGAGAAACAATCAAGAGGCAACAGATGTTAAATCCAGAAGAACATACATATTTGTGACTGTRGGAGTTTCCACTTCACTTTAGAATTCTTCCTACGCCCCCACACCCTCCTCTCAGGACCACAATCATCTCAGAGAGAGACTCTCTCTTTCTAAAATGACTCATGTCAGCAAA